CATTACAAATGCTAATTTGTAATTCTTTTTTCCATGTTTGATTATGCTAATTTGTCATTACAAATGCTAATTTGTAATTCGTTCTTCCATATTTGATTATGCTAATTTGTAATTCTTTCTTCCATGTTTGATTATGCTAATTTGTCATTACAAATGCTAATTTGTAATTCGTTCTTCCATATTTGATTATGCTAATTTGTAATTCTTTCTTCCATATTTAATTATGCTAATTTGTAATTCTTTCTTCCATGTTTGATTATGCTAATTTGTAATTCTTTCTTCCATGTTTGATTATGCTAATTTGTAATTCTTTCTTCCATGTTTGATTATGCTAATTTGTAATTCTTTCTTCCATGTTTGATTATGCTAATTTGTAATTCTTTCTTCCATGTTTGATTATGCTAATTTGTAATTCTTTCTTCCATGTTTGATTATGCTAATTTGTAATTCTTTCTTCCATGTTTGATTATGCTAATTTGTAATTCTTTCTTCCATGTTTGATTATGCTAATTTGTAATTCTTTTTTCCATGTTTGATTATGCTAATTTGTCATTACAAATGCTAATTTGTAATTCGTTCTTCCATATTTGATTATGCTAATTTGTAATTCTTTCTTCCATGTTTGATTATGCTAATTTGTAATTACAAATGCTAATTTGTAATTCGTTCTTCCATATTTGATTATGCTAATTTGTAACTCTTTCTTCCATATTTAATTATGCTAATTTGTAATTCTTTCTTCCATGTTTGATTATGCTAATTTGTAATTCTTTCTTCCATGTTTGATTATGCTAATTTGTAATTCTTTCTTCCATGTTGGATTATGCTAATTTGTAATTCTTTCTTCCATGTTTAATCACACTTCCCCTTTAAATTAATCTACTTACATGTAAAATCCCAAGCTAGATCCACTTGATGTGAATTGAGGGAACCATCATCAGCTGTACACTTCCCTTCTTCAGCTTTCATACTGCCATCAGGATTAACAGATGGTACAATGTGAACTGATGTGGAATCTAATAACTGAAAAGATGAAATACATCAACTTTAGAGGGTTCCTATAAAGGGCATATATATACTTGTTTGTTTGGGCATTATTTCTTTACTCTATATTTCTCACTCTAATAAACTGCGCCCTCTAGTGATAAACTTCTGTAACAAGTAATGACGTAAAATTATAGACACTAAAGGTTTTCTTTCAAAGCGACAACTCTGGTTTGGTTGTGTAGTTGTATCATTTTGAATATATTGTAGTAAATTTCTCAAAAACGTTATTCATTTTGGCTGAAGATTATTTTATGTTACAACAAAGCAGAATGTATAATTCAGAATACTGACAATAATGTAGCAATGTTTAAAAAAACATTTCTGACTTGCCAAATGATATAACATGATGACGCTTTATTTGACCTAAGACACACATATTACATCTGAATATTCAATATCTGTTGGCAACAGAATCATGGTAGCTTGTTGTAGAGAACAGCTGGTGCCATTTTATCAATGTTACATCACAGATAAAATCATGAATGTACTAAACAAATGTTTCATGTTAGAATTTAATTTTAATCTTTTATAAATTATTGATTTGTAAATCAGAAAAATCGCTCAATATTTTAGCAGTAAAAATCCATTGAATGTCAAAGTCAATATCTGTCACCTCTTACAAAATAAATACATAATTTTTTTTCACCTCCAACCCAAATTGTCATCAATACCTGTGTCTACCGGGTAATAGGGAATTATGTTTGTTTGGTCCAAAGTTATTAAAATGATCATAAAAAGAAAATAAAACTCTGGTAGGAAAATGTTCACTCTACAGATTGACTGGTGTGTACTATAGGTTTGCTGTTCTGTTAAATACAAGTGCATATCAATACCTGTGTTATCCAATCATCTTTTCCATAGCTGTACAACAAATACTCTGACAATGCCAGCAACAGCTCTCTTCCAATAACTTCATTGCCATGAATGTTACCAATGAATTTAATGGTGGGTTTTCCAGGAACACGTTTACCAGCATTTTGACTGATCTCCAAGGCCCATAGTTGACGATACTCTAGTGACTGACCCAAACTGAAAGAGAACAGAGTATGGGTACCAGTGTTTTCTAGTAAGGAGGAGGGTATAACCGAATGGGAAGCAGTGTTTTCTAATAGGAGGGTAGGGGGGAAGGGGAGTATGGGTACCAGTGTTTTCTTGTAAGGAGGAGGGTATAACCGAATGGGAAGCAGTATTTTCTAATAGGAGGGTAGGGGGAAGGGGAGTATGGATACCAGTGTTTTCTTGTAAGGGGAGGGTAAACTAAATGGGAAGCAGTGTTTTCCCAATAGCAAAGAAGGAAAACGGCATGTAAACCAGTGTTTTCTAGTGGAGTTTGGGAGGGGGGAGCAGAGTATGGGTAACAGTGTTTTCTAGTAAGGAGGAGGGATAAACAGAATGGGAAGCAGTGTTTTCTAATAGCGAGGAAGGAAAACAGTATGGGAGCATTATCATATGCATTATAAACTTTACAGTGATCGTACAATAAAGTGACAGAGCAAATTAACCCATACTTTCAATGTAAGTTACTTACGTATATAAATGTGTCATATTGGTATATGCTTCATCAAGATGTCTCAATAAAGTCTCCATTTCATCATAGCTATGGTATGTTAATTCCTTCTCAGGCGGCAAAGATACATTTAATGCTTGAAGCTGTATAAACATAAAGAAACAAACACATATTCATATATTCCTTTTATGCGAGTTAGAGAAAATTGGAAACTAGCAGTTAACACCTGAAAGGTCATACATCCTGGTACTTAAACCCCTGAAAGGTCATACATCCTGGTACTTAAACCCCTGAAACGTCATACATCCTGGTACTTTAACCTGATAGGTCATACATCCTGGTATTTTAACCCGATAGGTCATACATTCTGGTAATTTAATCAGATAGGTCATACATCCTGGTTTTAACCCCTAAAAAGTCATACATCCTGGTACTTTAACCCGATAGGTCATACATCCTGGTACTTTAACCCAATAGGTCATACATCCTGGTACTTTAACCCCTGAAAGGTCATACATCCTGGTATTTTAACCCGATAGGTCATACATCTAGGTACTTTAACCCCTGAAAGGTCAAACATCCCAGTATTTTAACCCTGAAAGGTCATACATCCTGGTATTTTAACCCGATAGGTCATACATCTAGGTACTTTAACCCCTGAAAGGTCAAACATCCCGGTATTTTAACCCCTGAAAGGTTATACATCCTGGTACTTTAACCCCTGAAAGGTTATACATCCTGGTACTTTAACCCCTGAAAAGTCATACATCCTGGTACTATAACCTCTGAAAAGTCATACATCCTGGTACTTTAACCCCTGAAAGGTTATACATCCTGGTACTTTAACCCCCAAAAGGTCATACATCTAGGTACTTTAACCCCTGAAAGGTCAAACATCCCGGTATTTTAACCTCTGAAAGGTTATACATCCTGGTACTTTAACCCCTGAAAGGTTATACATCCTGGTACTTTAACCCCTGAAAAGTCATACATCCTGGTACTATAACCCCTGAAAAGTTATACATCCTGGTATTTTAATCCCTGAAAGGTTATACATCCTGGTATTTTAACCTGATAGGTCATACATCTAGGTACTTTAACCCCAGAAAGGTCAAACATCCCGGTATTTTAACCCCTGAAAGGTTATACATCCTGGTACTTTAACCCCTGAAAGGTTATACATCCTGGTACTTTAACCCCTGAAAAGTCATACATCCTGGTACTATAACCCCTGAAAAGTCGTACATCCTGGTACTTTAACCCCTGAAAGGTTATACATCCTGGTACTTTAACCACCAAAAGGTCATACATCTAGGTACTTTAACCCCTGAAAGGTCAAACATCCCGGTATTTTAACCCCTGAAAGGTTATACATCCTGGTACTTTAACCCCTGAAAAGTCATACATCCTGGTACTATAACGCCTGAAAAGTTATACATCCTGGTATTTTAACCCCTGAAAGGTTATACATCCTGGTATTTTAACCTGATAGGTCATACATCTAGGTACTTTAACCCCAGAAAGGTCAAACATCCCGGTATTTTAACCCCTGAAAGGTTATACATCCTGGTACTTTAACCCCTGAAAGGTTATACATCCTGGTACTTTAACCCCTGAAAAGTCATACATCCTGGTACTATAACCCCTGAAAAGTCATACATCCTGGTACTTTAACCCCTGAAAGGTTATACATCCTGGTACTTTAACCCCTGAAAGGTTATACATCCTGGTACTTTAACCCCCAAAAGGTCATACATCTAGGTACTTTAACCCCCAAAAGGTCAAACATCCCGGTATTTTAACCCCTGAAAGGTTATACATCCTGGTACTTTAACCCCTGAAAAGTCATACATCCTGGTACTATAACCCCTGAAAAGTTATACATCCTGGTATTTTAACCCCTGAAAGGTTATACATCCTGGTACTTTAACCCCTGAAAGGTTATACATCCTGGTACTTTAACCCCTGAAAGGTTATACATCCTGGTACTTTAACCCCTGAAAAGTCATACATCCTGGTACTATAACCCCTGAAAAGACATACATCCTGGTACTTTAACCCCTGAAAGGTTATACATCCTGGTACTTTAACCCCTGAAAGGTCAAACATCCCGGTATTTTAACCCCTGAAAGGTTATACATCCTGGTACTTTAACCCCTGAAAGGTAATATGACCTAGTAACTAGGCCATCATAGTTATTACTTTGTTTATAGTAATAATGTTTATACCAGTAACTGGCAGTATGTATGACCTTTTGGACCAGAAAGTAAGAGGATGTGTGACATTAAGGAACCAGCAGTAATTACCAGGATGTGTGACATTAAGGAACCAGTAATTACCAGGATATGTGACCTTTATGGACCAGTAATTAGCAGTATGTATAACCTATTGGGCCAGAAACTACCAGAGTATGGAACTTTAGAGGCAGAAAGTATAATGTTCACCTTTATAGTCAACGAGTACTAGGATGGGTAACTTTTCAGGGTCATAAATATGATTTATTGAGAGTGGATATAAGTATAGCTCACCTTTCCTTCATATACTTGTGATAATTTAGTCATTGGTGTATATCCTGGCGCAGTGATGACAACTCTGTATAAGCCAGGAGACAGGATAGCATAGAAAATACCAGTATCTGGATTGACGTATATACTACGAGAATGCTCTATCAATGTGACCTCTGCATCTATTAATGGTTTACCCTTTACATCAGTTACAGCTCCAGAAATGCCTGAAAATTACAAGGAAAAATCATGACAAAAAGATAATAACGAACTTGACAGCAATCAGTGTTTCTGTTCCTTTCAAAGTTACACAGCGATGCTGGCATCTTATTGCTGGCTAAGTTACTGCTCATATCATTTCACATTTGAAATACTGTATTTCCTCTTGAAGAACATGCATTGTTGTAAATGGAGTACATAAGTCATATTTGAATGAGACAGTATACAATAAATGCAATTCATGGTTTATGTGCACTTCTATTTGAGCAAATAATGTAATTATAGTTGTGTTGAATCATAAATAGTTTTGTTTCCCATCATTACCTTGTTTAGCTTTTCCTAAAAACTGTAATATAGACTGCATATTGGTTTGCCATATTGAAGCTAAATCTATTACAGCCGGGTATTTACAACAAGATATATGTGCAGTAATCTGTGAAGAAAACAAAATTAAATGACATGAAATAGTTTTTTTTTTCAGTACAGTACATACAATTAGGCATGCAATATCACACCATAATACTCTGCAGGTGTTATTTTGCCATGTTTTTTTATAATTAGAAAATAAAAAATCCGAGATGTAGCCACATTGGGCATTTTGAAACAGATCAGTAACAAAATGACATCATGGTCTATAATTATATATATTGATAGAGTTGGTTCTAGAATGGGAATTCCAATTCTCATCAAAGGCAATGTGCACATGTGTAAAAACAGTGTGAAGTATGAGTAAAATATGAGTGACATCCAAAAAGGCATGTCAGGAAATAAATCGCTCTGGTGTTTTCAAAAACAAAATTTGATTGCCGATGTGAATTAGATTGCAAAAATAATATATGTGGATATGTGTGAAGTTTGGATATAGGTTTTCAGACTAATTAATGGACTGAGTTGGATGAGAATGTCCACAATTCCTAGGAGACATGCAAAATCAAATAAACAACTCCATTATACCATTAAAGTCTTTTCCTGCAGATATAAATAATCTTGGAATGTATTTTTGGTTGGTATCCACTCAGCACCATGTGTTATGCCATCAGTGAACTGATAACCATGACAGGATTCACTGCCGGTATGCATGGATGGATGCTTCATGGAATAAGCCAGAGATAAAAACTGTAATGTGGAATCATCTTCAGTCTTAACACCATTCACTAAGGGACTCTCATCCCTGGCGTAATCCATGGGATATCTAAAGCAGTAGACAGTACAGGGTAAAGTATGAATTAAATTACACAAGTAAAAACATACCCCTTAATGTAATATGGCCAAAAAGCAAGACGACTGGAAGTCTGTCATCTTTTATCTAATTACAAATTGAATTTCTATGGACCTGTATAGCTACATGCATAATACAGGCAATCAAATTGAATATGCAAATCACTTGTCATGTGACCTGATAAATTGATTCTGAATGAATTTCAAGGAAATAAGAGTGAATAATAGACTAATCTAGTACCGCTTCAAACTTCATTCTAGCTGGGTAAATAATACAAATATAGTGCTCGCAAACATTTAAAAGTTAACAATACAATGTAAATATCATATAATATGTATTTATAATATATCTGGCATTGTATAGTACTATAATCCAAATAAGGAACTTTGGCAGATAAGTTTAATGAATCATTTACAACAAAACTATGTTTCAATAATTTTCGAATGGGAAATAATTTATCAGAAATTGAAGGATACTACAAATTATATAATACAGAGTCAGAAAAAATAGTAACATACATACCTTACCCACAAACCATCAGCTTCAATACTGAGTACAGATTCAAATTTAACATTCTCAAATAATTCTTTGAGAGCTTTTATCTCTGGTCGGTCTGAAAGCTAAATATACAGCAGTGAGTGTCTTACGTGTGTCTCGGCAACATTGACTTGCTTATAACAAAATCAGTACAAACAAAAGCCCAGGACTGCGCTGGACTGAATTTGTAGGGATTCTGAGTCAAAACATTATCCCACAAAACCAAAATGAGTCAGCTTGTTGACTGCTGAGAAGGTTGGTCTTCAAGACAAAAATAAAATTGTATAAAACTGTATGGGTGGATTTGAGGCACAAACAAAAAATGTTGTGGCTCCTGATTTACAATAATTTTGTCAATAAAGTATGAATTATATTTTACCAATTTGGTACATGTATCACAATAAAGTAACACATAATCATGGAAATTATTACCTCGGTATTGTCAGTACTAAACACATTAACAATACTGGATGTATTATCATAATGGTTTCCATCACAGTCTTCTAACTGGGCTTCATCAAATCCATCGAGATCCACGCCTGGTATGATATGTATAGTGATTGTGCTGACTAAATCTACAATGTGTTCATCACCGCGAGAGAAACCTATTCAACCAATCAAAATGCAATGTTACATTTTAATGTGCAACTAAGTAATATTGTTCATATCATACCTTATAAGGAAGTGTGTTCATATTTATTTGTTGTTGTTTTGTGTTGTTTCATTCTGAATGTTCTGTGAACTACTTTAATTTTACAAGACAAATTTTTGTGAGTCATGGAGAATGACGAAATACTATAGCAGTTTATTTTATTGGAGTTCTAGAAAGTCACAGCAAACATTTCATTGGATTCCTAGGGAGTCATAGTTTACATCCTATCACTACAAAATTTTAAAATAGTGAACATTTCTAGCAGCAAAAATTCACAATATCATCAGCTAATTGTCTGGTAATACAACTGTGTTGTCTCCAAATCAGATAACAATCTACTGGCTTTCTGAATGTTGCTTTCAAAAAAACAGTAGATTATTATCAGTTGTATTGCCAGACAATTATTGATGATATTGGTGGTTAGGTGTATAAAAACCCATTCATGGCTATAGTGTAGCTAATAGCAAGTACATTTTAGATATTTTGATTTGAACAACTCAATCATTTAAATTTTTTGCATAGATTAATACAAATGTGAAAGATAATAATAATTTTTGTTTTCTCTCAATTCATTTTGGGATATGTGTTTTGAAGCAAGTTTTTCTTATGTTAAAAGTTACCTTCACATATATGTCTGATAATTCGCATCAGGATCTCTCTCCCCACGGGTTGCTCCGCATGCAATCCACCAATCAAAGCAACTTCAGGTTTCTCAAACGCTTTACCATGATCGTTGTCGTATGTGATCACTAAATCATAAATAGTATTCTGTTTTGGTGTTTTGGTCAATTCCACCAGTTGTGTGATGTTACTGTATTTAATGGCATAGTCTGCGATTTGCGCTATCAAATCCTGGTTAGACAAGTATGTCGTGAAGTTTTGTGGAAGACCGTAGTCGTATATTGTACCCCAATCATCCGGTGATAGGTTGATTGGGATTTGTTCCTTTAATGGTTTTTCAGGACTGCCAACTGATCTCAGAGTGAAGTTCAAGTGAGTAGCCAGGCCCTCACTCACTGTTACTGTCTGGGTGTCAGAAATATAGCTGAAAAGGAACAGACAAATAATCAAATTAGTGTTTTGGTAGAAAGATCAGGATTCTGACTTTTGTAAAGTGTTGTTATTTAAATCTCACTGTCATCATTACATGAATATAGACAAGGTTGTATTAAAATGAATAACAATAAATATTCAATCATTTGAATTCCGACATTTGAAGTCCATTAAATTCCATGATGTGAAAGCATTGCCTGGAGCGGATTTGACTACTACTGTAAAATCTGTATTAAAAGCTGCGGTTTCTATTAAAATGGTACAATGCAACAGAGGGGATGTGGCTTCTATTGGAGCACCTATACATATGAGAAATAGTGATTTTTTGGGTCTGAATTGTTCAAAAAGAATGGGTGTGGCTTCTATCCAATACAGATTTTACAATAGTCAGTGCCAGCAAGTTTTAACAAGCAGCCTCTCGGCTGAGATAGCTCCGCTGTTAGCAATGCACATTTCAATTAAAGAACTGAAGACATCATTAGAAAATGAACAATATGCATAGTATCAATGCAATGGGACTTGCTGTTTTCAACAATAATTCAAAAATATCATTTTTCACTATAAATGATTGTGGTTTTTAACAAGAAGTCGAAAATATCACTTTTTACCAAAAATGATAAAAATATTCATCAAAATTAGAGAATTGAAGATATCATTACAAAATGAACAAATCTATATATGTAATATCAAAGCAATTGGACTTGTGGTTTTTAACAAGAAGTTGAAAATATTACTTTTTACCAAAAATGACAAAAATATTCACCAAAATTAGAGAATTAAAGATATCATTACAAAATGAACAAATCTGAGAGAGGTCCACATGTAGTACCTATATATGTAATATCAAAGCAATTGGACTAGCGGTTTTTAACAAGAAGTCGAAAATATCACTTTTTACCAAAAATTACAAAAATATTCACCAAAATTAGAGAATTGAAGATATGATCATGAAATGAACAAATCTACCCAAGGTACATATACACCAAGTATAAAAGCATTCAGGCTTGTAGTTTTCAAGAAGAAGTCAAACAAGCAGCCTGTCGGCTGAGATAGCTCCGCTGTTAACAATGCACATTGCAATTAAAGAACAGAAGATATCATTAGAAACAATATGTATAGTATCAAAGCAACAGGACTTGCTGTTTTCAACAAGAATTCAAAAATATCACTTTTCACCAAAAATAATCATCAAAATTAGATAATTGAAGATATCACCACAAAATTAACAAATCTGAAAAAGGTCCACATGTAGTAGCTATATATGTAATATAAAAGCAATCAGACTTGCGGTTTTCAACAAGAAGTCAAAAATATCACTCTTTACCAAAAATTAAAAAAATATTCATTAAAATTAGAGAATTAAAGATTTCATCATGAAATGAACAAACCTGAGAGAGGACCACATGTAGTACCTATATATGTAATATCAAAGCAATTGGACTTGCGGTTTTAACAAGAAGTCAAAAATATCACTTTTTACTAAAAATGACAAAAATATTCACCAAAATTAGAGAATTAAAGATATCATTACAAAATGAATAAATCTGAGAGAGGTCCACATGTAGTACCTATATATGTAATATCAAAGCAATTGGACTAGCGGTTTTTAACAAGAAGTCGAAAATATCACTTTTTACCAAAAATTACAAAAATATTCACCAAAATTAGAGAATTGAAGATATCATCATGAAATGAACAAATCTGAGAGAGGTCTACCCAAGGTACATATACACCAAGTATCAAAGCATTCAGGCTTGTAGTTTTCAAGAAGAAGTCGAAAAAGTAAAACATTGACACGAACGACGACGACGGACAATCACTCATATGATAAGCCCTGCTCGACAAAGTCGACAGCGGAGCTAAAAAGGCAACACAGTCAATTGGATTGAAGAGATTTCCTGTCTAGTATGTAGTAGGATGACAAAAATATATTCAAGTATTCACATTACAATATACATACCCATCCAAGGATGCAGTGACTTTGTGAACACCAGGTACTAGTAATCTCCAGTAATCACCATCTTTTGCCGTGATAATGTCATGATCGATGCTATACACGTGTATCGTAACATTAGACAGTCCAACACCACTCTCACTTAGCACAAACCCTTTTACACCTTTATGTACCTGTGAACATATCATAAGGTGAAAACTAAGGTGATCTCAAAGTCAAGGCTCATTGATCACATGACAATTTTACAACCTAAGTGTTTATGCATGTCAAATCATGGAACTAGCAGACCCTTTGCAAATCAGTGAATGCTTCTCCAGTCAAACATGTGTCAGTAACCACCTCTACTGTGGCTACCCCTACAGTGACCAGACTTGTTACAGCAAAAATTTCAAGACCTATTTATGCAACATTTTGCTAATTGTCTGTAAATTTTGAAAAAAAGAGAAATCAACAGAAATTGACATGACTGACAAGTTTTGATCACATGTTATATTTTGATTCAAAACTAGATTTTGTTAGAAGGAGAGAAGACAGAACTTACTTGCTGTAGAAAGGTTATTAATGATAGCTCGTTATCTTCCCAATAAGATTCCAAATCTTTCTGGTATGGATACTTAAAACACCCCAATTCTAGAGTTATCTCAAAACAATTTGTATTCAAATAATTCCAGTCCTGCATTCCACCTACATGAACACAAGGTTAAAGGTTAAAGGTCAGTATTCAGAATTCTATCTGCTAGGCAACACACATAACAACAAGCCGGTAGGCTGGTTGGCGATCCGCTCCGCTCAAAAACAAGCACCATGTTTTTGGCTGTTTCCATGGTGTGACATAAACGTGAAGCTAACGTCGGTTTATAACTAATACGAAGTTCGCAAACACCATTCAGTTTTTGGAAGTCACTTAGTTTATTACTAGGACCACAATCACTCTCCCAGTCGAGTGACTGTGCTAGGACGTATTCTGCTGTTACATTTATTATTTCCAACCGTTTTGCGATAGCATTTTCTAGAATGAAGCGTTTCCTGTAAATGCTGGAAAGCGAAATAATGAAATAACGAGATGGTAAATATTTATCTAAAGTACAGTGTGTTGACCTTCATAATAATATACTTCATAATGCAAAACATTAGTCACGGTGAGTTATTTAAATATACGACTCCTAATCGAAAAATATGACCAGTCCAGAATTTCAGACGGATATTAAGAAACCTAAGAGCATATCAAAAGCATTTACTCTAAAATATAAAAAAGAACTGCAGTCAAAATTCAAGAATGCCAGCAAATAAAGGACTCTGCCCCACAATCCTTTGTGCGCGTTATTACGGACACGCGCAAAAAACTGTACCACGCTTGTCAAATCTG